TATAGGGGTTTAACCTCTTCACAGGAGTTTGGCCAAAATTCTACTTGGACGAAATGACATGTAGTGCGGGACAAAGTTCGTTTGCCGCATAACTGCCACGTGGTAGAAGTAAAGCCTCACTAGAACAGGCGTAATAAAGTTCTTGTTTGATTTAGTTAAAAAAAAAAATTGATAAAAATTCAAGTTAAAGTCAATAATTAATTTTAACCAAATATTTTATGAGGCCTACAACTTTTATGAACTTTTAAATTAAACATTTCATTAACCACTTGTAGGGATTTGTGAAAATGATTATCAACCAAAAATATTATCAAATCCTAATCACATGCATAAATATACTCCATGTTGAAACCAAAAGAAGATTAATAGCGGAAGCATACCTTGATCCATATTGCTTGATTGTTTGAACGGGTTATGATATTTCAATTGATACGTAGTCTCCTGAATTTTCTCTTTGTTGATGGGGATTCAGAGATCTGAAAAAATCACATACAATTGGGAACCATAACCCATAAAATAATAACCGAATATGCAGTTATTATCTTTCAATTATTTCAAATTGACTCATCATCAATCAAGAGCAACTATTCTAAATTGTTTTGAAACTTGAAAATAGAACAATTTCATGAAATTGTTCATATCTACTGATGGGTTGTGATGCTATTCTTGTTAATTGAATCTAAACCATTTGGGCAATGATAAAACGGGCTTGGCCCAATTGCTGGAAATATTATTTCAACCATTAAACATTGCCCAATAACTCAAGGAAATCGGCCTAAAACCCAGCCCAATCTATCGCCACGTGTGCTGCTCTGGACCCTAGATTTCATGGCTGATCTACGGTGACCGTGAGGTGTATATATGGAAGATGTGTGGTCACTTGAGCCCTAATTTTTCATTCTGTTCCTGCTTCACATGTTAGAAGCTTCTGGGTTCTTTTCCTTCTTGCTCCCTTCTCTTGATTCTCTCTTTCAATACTCTGTGTAGAGATTAAAACTTCTGGTTTTAATCATCAATCTTTGTGATTGTGGTCTTTGTGATTCTTCGATTGAGAGTTTAGCTGATATAGATTGACTGTGTAATCTTGAACTATTGAGTAGCTATGTTGTGTGATTTCTTTAGGGTTTGTTGGTGTCTTTGTGGCTGTTTCCTTGTACAGAAGGGTACAATGAGTTTTGTATTCTAAGCCCAAATAATAATCGAATCCTCTTGGTGTTGGTGTTTTATTTCTTCTTCGTGAATCTTGGTTATTGCTTCCGTTTGTGTTGGCTTTACATCTACAATAAAATTTTTCAATATAATATGACATGGATGAATATATTTTGGTATTATTAATAATCGATAAACTTCCTTCCACTTGGAAAGACTACAAGAGAAGTCTTAAACATCGAAAGGAGGATATCTTCATTGAAGAATTGGCCGTCATCTCCGGATTGAGGACAATATCAGAATGAATAATTTTGATGAACATATTGATCAATCTCAAGGATTCATGTAGTGTAGAAGAGGAAAATGATGCAAAGCAACAAAACTCCAAAAATGACAAAAATAGGTTTGATCAAACGAGGACGACCCCGAGAAAAAAGAAAGGAGCTCACTACAATTGTGGAAAATTGGAACATCTCAAAAGGAGCTTTGAAACTATTCAAATAGCCGATTATGAAAGATGTACCACTCTTGCACATAAGTAATTCGGCCTCTCTCTTCCTCGGCAACCCGAAAGCTATCAACTTCATTGATGTTGGAGCCCCAGATATGAATTATAAACGTAAATGGTTCTTATTCTACATGTATTATAGGATATGAATTCATAATAATATAAATTAAGTCATTCATTTGGTTTGTTTCCTTAATGCATGACATTTGATATAGTTTCTATTCTGTGTATATTAACTAGTAAAAACACAAGAATAGAAGGTAACGTTGAAATAATAATGTTTGTGATCTTAAGTTTATGCACATTAAAGACTTTTGTAATAGTTTATCTTGATGCTCCGTTTATGCCACACGCGTGGAGGGCGACGGCGCCGGACCCAACAGCAGCGCGCGACAGTCGCGCGCTGCTGATGGCAGAAGCAGCGGCGGCAACACCGCTGCGTTTT